AAGTTAAGGAATGCCTGTCCTTAACTTTTGAACCTGTAAGTCAAAGTTAAGGACTGCCTGTCCTTAACTTTTGAACTTTGAACTCAAAATAAACAAAAAGAACGTAAAGCAGAAAGAAATTTTGAAAATTCAGACATCTGCACAAATAAGAATAATCTAAAATGAATCCAATTTATCGCAAAAACTTAAAAGAGTCGATAAACATAAGTGGATATATCTACTATTCTCTATGCTTCCTTGAAAATGGATGGACTGCCGGAGAATATATACAAGGTGTTCTATTATGACCAATTCTTATGCAACAATCACATTTGAATGTTATTTTTGATGACTTGGTAGCTGGAATATGCCTTTTCTTCTGCCTTCTACCTGGTGGCACTTTGAAATCTGGAGGTTTAACAATTTGTGACTTAACACTCTCTGGTACAATCCAAGAATCAGTATGTCCTACAGGATGTATTTTTCTTTCATATGTTTTCAGCCAAGATTCCTTTAAGTACCAGTGCGAGCAAAAGTTGGACTTCTTGATGTTTCTCTTCTCGATAGCTGCAATTGCATGTATGCATGGTAATTCATCAAATTAAAATTGAAAACAATCACATGTTCTTTTGTTTAAGTCCACCAAGAAAGTTATTCCTTCTTCTTCAACTCTAGAACTCCATGAATCAACAGGGAAGACCTTCAATGTTGAAAAATTATAAGTTAGTACATTATGTTAAATTATATTAAAATAATAACCTAAACATAGAACATAATACTTACATTCAAAGTAAATGCTAAATCTATCTTTTTCTTCAATTCCTCCTCTACCCAACAAGAAACATCATAAAAAGTTCCTTCTGCTTCATTTCTTCTTTCATAAAACCAACGTTGTAGCTTCACTTGAATGAAATCCATCATTCTTAATATAGGAAGCTCCCTTGCTTCTAATAGGACAGAATTCATTGACTCAACTATGTTCGTTGTGAGCATGTCATATCTTCGTCGAGGACTACAAGAACGTGACCACCTTTCTGGTGGTTCTTCCATCAAGTAGTCATAAGTCTTCTTATCTACTTTTGCTATATCTGACATGTAAAGATCAAATTCTTTGCGCCTGTATACTCTTGCAGCAGTTTGAAAAAGTTTTATGACCTCACTTTTCACTTTCCTTCACTTTAGGTTCTGCTCCAGATGATAGATACAAATCCCATGGTGGCTTTCAGGATATACCTTTGCGATGGCATATGCAATAGCTTGATGCCTGTCTGATAAAAAAATTAAATTCTTACGGCTCCCAATTGCATTGCGAAGCTCACTAAAGTACCACTCATAGGAATTGTTATTTTCAGATTCTGCTATTCCAAAGGCTAGTGGGAAAATTTGGTTATTTGCATCCTTTGAAACTGAAATCATTAAAACACCACGAAAATTTGACTTCAAAAAAGTTGCATCAACAGCAATCACTGGTCTACAATGATTCCAACCAGATATTGATGATCCATATGCATAAAACATATAAAGAAACCTGAAAATACAGTATAAAATAAGGTTAACAGAAGTTAAGGACAGACAGTCCTTAATTTATACTAACAAGGTCAAAAGTTAAGGACAGGTAGTCTTGAACTTCACGTAACAAGGCCAAAAGTTAAGGACAAGTAGTCCTGAAGTTATACTAACAAGGTCAAAAGTTAAGGACAGGCAATCCTTAACTTAGAGTTACAAGTTATAAAGTTAAGGACATGCAGTCCTTAACTTTGAGTTACAAGTTATAAAGTTAAGGACATGCAGTCCTTAACTTTGAGTTCAAAGTTCAAAAGTTAAGGACATGGAGTCCTTAACTTAGACTAACAAGGTCAAAAGTTAAGGTCACCATGTCCTTAATTTTATAACTTGCAATTCTAAGTTAAGGACCAAGTGTCCTTAACTTTTTGACTGCACACATGAAAGTTAAGGACAAGACGTCCTTAACTTTTTAACTGGTTAAAGACAGCATGTCCTAAAGTTTATAAAACAAACTAATAAATTCTTTTTTGATTGTTTACCTGTTGTTGTCGTCTATCTTTATGTTAGTATATGTTCCCGGGTTTTTACTTCTCATCATATACAAGTATGAAGACAATAATTCATAATTCTCTTCATGAGTTCCTCTTATTAAAGCAGAAGCACATTGAATAGCACGCCACGCCTTATGATACCCAATGTCTAGTCCATGCAATTTTTGCATTTCTGCCATGACAAAAGCTGGTGTAACTTCAAACCTTGGGTCTCGAAGATTGTCGATAATGTAACCACTAATCAACTTTGAAGTTGCATGCCTTTGATCAGCTTTCATAGTGTTAACAGAGCAGTCATGATTTTTCTCAATCTTTACTATCTTGAACAGTGTTGAATCTTTAATTCTGAAAGCACGCACACACCACCCACACCTATCATCATTTCATTTCAACGAATATCTTGTTGAGCTTGATCTAACAACCTTGAATTCAAAATGTCCTTTAATTGCTATATTCGAAAAACAGTTAACTATACTCTTCTTTTTGTCAAATATTAATCCCACTTTTATTTCATCCAACAAAGCATTTTCTCTTAATATCGTAGTTGGGGATTCTTTTTTTTTCAAATTTGACCTTCGTCTAGTTAGTTGAGTAGAGGTTTTTTCAGCAACTTCTTCGATTACCGGTGCACTCTCTAAGACTTGAATACCCAAAGCTTGTTCGTTGTCAATCTCTATAATGCTTTATCCTTTTACTTGAATAGAATCAAACATTTGAAGCGCCTCTTCAGTTATTGGTTGAGCTTCAACCATATCTATTTCCATTATCTGTTGGCATTTGTTTTGATTGTCATGTTGAGTTTCTCTGTTGACATGTTCAAAGGCACTTGTTGATCCACAAACTCTTTCCAAAATATCAACAATGAAACGACAGCCCTTGAAGAGTGAATGACTTTTTAGTAACTCAATACATGTGTGAAGATCTAAATCTTTGGATACAAGCATTCCCTTGCTTGTTCCAAGGTTGATATCAAACCATATCACTGCTTTAAACTTGTCTCTATCCAATTCAATAACTTCAAAGATCTATTTAATGAAATCTTGCAACTGAATTGCATCAGGTACTAGAACAAGCTTTGTTTGATGATCAAGATACTTATAGTCTTCAGTCCATCTACCATTAAAAGCAACTATAATGCATATTTTTTCCATCCTGCAAGTCAAGAGAATGGGAAACTCAGGACATATTTTATAGAGCAATCCTGTATAATTAAGAACAGGTACTCTAAATTCAAGACCAAGTTAAGGATCAAGTGTCCTTAACTTTTGATCTTGGTGTTCAAAGTTAAGGACCAATTGTCCTTAGCTTTTTAACTTGGAAATCAAAGTTAAGGACCAGGTGTCCTTAACTTTTGAACTTGTAATTCAAAGTTAAGGATCAGGTGTCCTTAACTTTTGAACATCGAATTCAAAGTTAAGGACCAAGTGCCGTCAACTTTTGAACTTGGAAATCAAACTGCAGGACCAAGTGTCCTTAACTTTTGAATTTGAAACTTGAAGTTAAGGACTGTCTGTCCTTAACTTTTGAACATGTAATTTAAAGTTCAGGACCAAGTGTCCTTAACTTTTCAACTTCAAACTTGAAGTTAAGGACTGCCTGTCCTTAACTTTTGAACATGTTAGTCNTTTCAGCAACTTCTTCGATTACCGGTGCACTCTCTAAGACTTGAATACCCAAAGCTTGTTCGTTGTCAATCTCTATAATGCTTTGTCCTTCTACTTGAATAAAATCAGATATTTGAAGGCCTCTTCAGTTATTGGTTGAGCTTCAACGATATCTATTTCCATTATCTGTTGGCATTTGTTTTGATTGTCATGTTGAGTTTCTCTGTTGACATGTTCAAAGGCACTTGTTGATCCACAAACTCTTTCCGAAATATCAACAATGAAACGACAACCCTTGAAGAGTGAATGACCTTTTAGTAACTCAATACATGTGTGAAGATCTAAATCTTTGGATACAAGCATTCCCTTGCTTGTTCCAAGGTTGATATCAAACCATATCACTGCTTCAAACTTATCTCTATCCAATTCAATAACTTCAAAGATCTGTTTAATGAAATCTTGAAAATGAATTACCTCAGGTACTAGAATAAGCTTTGTTTGATGATCAAGATACTTATAGTCTTCAGTCCATCTACCATTAAAAGCAACTATAATGCATATTGTTTCCATCCTGCAAGTCAAGAGAATGGGAAACTCAGGACATATTTCATAGAGCAATCCTTGTATAATTAAGAATAGGTACTGTAAATTCATGACCAAGTTAAGGACCAAGTGTCCTTAACTTTTGAACTTGGAATTTAAAGTTAAGGACCAACTGTCCTTAACTTTTGAACTTGTAATTCAAAGTTAAGGACCGGGTGTCCTTAACTTTTGAACTTGTAATTCAAAGTTAAGGACCAGGTGTCCTTAACTTTTGATCTTGTAATTCAAAGTTAAGGACCAAGTGTCCTTAACTTTTGAATATGGAATTCAAAGTTAAGGACCAAGTGTCCTCAACTTTTGAACTTGGAAATCAAACAGCAGGACCAAGTGTCCTTAACTTTTGAACTTGAAACTTGAAGTCAAGGACTGCATGTCCTTAACTTTTAAACATGTAAGTTAAAGTTCAGGACCAAGTGTCATTAACTTTTCAACTTCAAACTTGAAGTTAAGGACTGCCTGTCCTTAACTTTTGAACATGTAAGTCAAAGTTCAGGACCAAGTGTCCTTAACTTTTCAACTTGAAATTCAAACTTCAGGACCAAGTGTCCTTAACTTTTCAACTTGAAACTTGAAGTTAAGGATTGCCTGTCCTTAACTTTTGAACATGTAAGTCAAAGTTCAGGACCAAGTGTCCTTAACTTTTCAACTTCAAACTCAAACTTCAGGACCAAATGTCCTTATCTTTTTCAAAACAATTTGAAAAACTATGACAGTATGTGCTTAATATTCAGAAGAACAGCAAAAAGTTAAGGACATTGTGTCCTTAACTTTTTCAATTCAATTTGGAAAATCAGGACACTATGTCCTTAATATTAGTAAGAACGATCATGACACCAAATCCTTAACATTTTGTGCTCAATTTTTATAGAATTATCAAAGGACGCGATGTCCTTAACATTATCAATCCAGAAATTCCAAAAAAAAAAAAAAATTCCTAGCATCAAATTCGTAGTAACGAAATAAAAATCAATAGAAACACAGAAAAGCATAACTTACTGTAAATTTATGTCGATTTTTGGACGAGAAAGTTGAATTCTACAGTTTCAAATCGGAAGAGAAGCTTCTGCAATTCTATAGCGATCACAGTCTCAAATCGGAAGAGAAGCTGCTACTGAAGTTAGTTACTGCTGCTGCGTGATCGTTAATAAAAGTCTATAAGTTGTAGCAGAAGGGTATTTTCGTCCAGTCAAGTAAAAGATTATTAAACCAGTGGCTAAAGACTAAAGACATTTAAAATGCTGGCTTTAAAGTAAAGACAAGTGCTCTTAGTGGCTATTTGTGCACATCGCCCTTTTAATTATGTACTAGTAGGAGTTATTTTTCTTTTGGTTGGGCCCCATGACATCATTCCTTGTTCGATCGTTATAGGATAAGTTACATTTGTTGACTTATTTTATTAACATATCAACGAACCTTACTTACTTGGACGTTATCAAAGTTCAACATTATTTTGAAATAGGTCTCGAGTTTGAAGAAAAATACTGGACGTACTAAAAACAAGAGTTTAGTAAAGATGGAACAGACTAGAGAGCAATTTTAGATCAGTTTAGCAGTTGCTAAAGGACGTTGAGGTCATTTGGTTGGTGAAATAAGGAATTATAATCTCAAGATATATTGCTGGATTAGCGTATTCTGTATTTACTAGTTGGTACAGTTTGTTATCCGGAGATTAATAATTTGAGGTTATTTATGTCACAATTATGATATTATTTTGATACTATATTGGATAATAATTTTGAGATAAAATAATAAAATAACACATTTCATCTCCAAAGTTTTTAAGAATGATAAATTTAAAATTAAAATAAAAGTTTATGCCAACTTATCTAAT